TATATATATATTTTTGTATTTTCTAATTCATTCATGTAACAAAAATCTTATTCTTGATAATTAATAAATACTTTCATGAATATATCACGAATCACGAATCACAAATTTACTAATTACAAATTTACTAATACATATTTAAAAGATTATTCATTAAAAAAAAAACAATGAATAAATCTAAATTTTAATTTACGAATTATTTTTATTTCCCTTACAAATTGTCGAATTTCTAATTTAAATTAAATAACGAAAAAGGTTATTTATAAAAAATTCGTTAAAATGATTATTTTAATTTATAGTAGTTAAATATTTATTTATGCTATATATTTAAATATAATCAATCTTTATATAATTTAATAAAAGAATTTAATTTATAATTAATTTTAAAAAATATATGAATAATATTATATACATACATATGAGATATTTGATGTATCCGCTGGATCAGACATAACTACTATAATATTTACACAATTATTTTTATAAATATTTTTATAAATATGTATTAAGAATTAATCACTTAGTAATTATTTATTATATTGTTCAAATCAAAATATAAATGATATTTTATGTTCAAGATTTATTACTTAACTAGATTATGGAACAGTTTTAAGACTTTGATATATTACATAGTATATGATAAAACAATTTCGATATAAAAACAGTGATTACAGATATGTTATTTTTTACAATTACGTATTACAATATTTTTTACAATATGAATATATGTTACATATATAAATATTTATTACTTGAAATATTCATAATATTTATATTTAAATTATAATTTAAAAAATATTTTTTTTATTTGAATACTTGATGTATATTATTATTATTATATTATATTATTTGAAAATAATTTAAAAATATGTAATTTAATTTTATAAATATTAATAAAAGAATATCTATATTTATAATTATATTTTTATATTTTTTAAATATCAATTTTATATATGCATATATGATATATGATATATATATCAATATAAATATATAATATTTTTAATATGAAATATATTACAAACATATTATACAGAAAATACAAAATTGTAAATTGTTTAGATATATCTATATTTTATATATATTTACAAAAAGAATAGTATTAATATTATATAATTACATATCATGATAAATATACTTATGTATACTTATGTATGTAATAAATACATATAAATAAATTAATTTTTATATACACATTAATTTATTAAACTGATAAGAAATTGAAAATATTTATTTATAAGAAATATAAGAATTAATAAAAAATTAATAATATTTTATTATATAATTAAAATATAATGAAACAACTTTATAATATGAATGTAGGATTCTAATCATATATCGTATGTAATATACATATATATAATTGCATAACATTACATACATAATATATATGTATCTATGTAAGTAGTGACATCTTTAAAATTGTTACAACTTACAGATCAATTGAATAAAGGTTAGGTATATTAAGTGTTGATAAACAACATGTGGTCAATTTACAATATGATTGTATAATTTTATAATTATATTTTGCTTCGATTTTTGATATACTTGGTTTTATATTTCAATGGCAGTTTTGCATCGTGCATTATTTACATGGTTCAATCTTTTGATTTTTCTGATTTTACTTGTTTTGAGACTCGATCAAAGAATACAATGGAATTGGTTCATAGTTTTTATTCCAATGTGGTTATATGATCACATACTTTTGGTTTATATTGTTTTCAATATGATTTCTCATTGTAAAAATGGACGAGTTGTTAATTTACGCCGAGAAGTAAGTTTAAATTAAACAATAAAGTTAAAAAACTTGAAATAAATTAAAAAAAAATGGATTATTTTTTGATATTCAAGTTTTATTTTTAGTAAAAATAATAATATTTGTATATATAGATTTTTATTATTATTAAAATGAAAAAAATGAAAAAAAATTTTAATATATAATGTTTTACTTTCTTGTATAAGTTAAAAAAAGATATATTGTTTATTATTTTATGTAATATAAAATCTTAAAAAAAATGATTTATTTTATTAATATATTATTAATTTATATATAAAAATAAAAATTTAAAATATATTTTTTAATTATTTTTTAGCTATTTATAAGAAGATAAGATATTATAATATTATTATTTTTTAATTTTAATTATTTTTAAATGTTGAATGTTTATATGAAATATCAAATTCATAAGTTCATATAATAGAATTAATCATTTTGATGAAATTAAATATTTATTATTTTATGAAAACTGAAAGTAATTTTCTTTTAGGTATGGTATATGACAGCTGTATTTATGAAATTAAGCGCTCAAATTTTAATATGTTTGAAATTAGAAGCACCTCATTGGTTTTTACCAGCAAAAGTTGTTTTGGCACCATTTTGGATTCTTCTTCCTGCATTAGCAGTTGATGTTTTTGTACATTTGATACATCATTATCGATATTAACTATGAACAAATTAGGTAATTCCTAAATCGTAATAAGTGTAAGTAATATTTGTATATATTATTAATAAGTCACAGGTAATTCCAAAATATAATAAGTATAAATATATATATATATATATAATATATAATAATAATAATAATATAATAGCATGTAATATTTATTATATATCATTCATTTTTTATTTATTTAATTTAATATAACAATATGATTTATTTCTCTTACATTTAAAAATTGAATTGAATTAAATTAAAAGAATTTAGATTAGAAAAATTATATAATTTATTTAGAGTTTTCTCTGTTAATACTTAAAAAATATATTTTATGTAATGTGTAATATTTTATTATAAATTATATATATTTATATAATTTATATATATATATATATTACATAATAATTAATAAATATAATATATATAAATTTCCTTGATATTAGGTTTTATCTTACATATCAATATTCAATATTCTTTCAATAGTTTCACTTGAAGTAGTAACGTATATTATGTACTTTAGATATATGTATAATAGTCACAAGATGCCAGTCTAGCTTACTATAAATACTCTGTTGCACAAGGATGAATAGGACAAAGATATAAATAAGTAACTCTAAAGTAGTTTCATTATTAATGCTTCTCTCATTAATCCATTATCATCATTTATAGGTTGTGATTTTAATATTTTTTAGTACATTTAAAATAAAATATAAAATAAATAACAGTGAAAAATTACAAAAAATTAATGTACATAGATATTTTTATAATTATGCAACATGTTTCATTGAGTGTTTTTTATTTGCATTGTGTATAGAATAATTATTCTAACAAACATCTGTCATATACAAAACCAGTCGCATGTTAATGGAATTTTTAAATTTCATTTTAAATAGTGAAAGTAAAATGTAATTGTTTTATAATAAAGTGTAGTGCTAGCAATATAAAACATTTTGCTAATTTAGTTGATAATGAAATAAATAAGTTATATATTATTTTTTTGTTATGATTCTACTTTTTTAATGTGAATGTGAAAGTTATCAATTTATGAAATAAATAATAAAAACTTTATTGTGATTCATTCTTATATATACATATATATATATATATATATAGCACTGAATTTTTAATAATGGATAATATACAACAGGTAGAATAATCAAATATATTTTATAAAATATAATATAAAATTAAATATTTATATAATTTTTATATTTAAACAATTAAAATATATGATTTAATTAATTTTCATTAATATTTTTACTTATATTTAAATAGATAGATGTATTCTATTTTATTTTGATTAATAATCTTGATTTATTATAATTATATTTTATAGATGACTGTGGTTAATTTCATATTTATATATTTATCATTATTGCTAAAAAAGGGAGTTCATGGAGTTAGTACAGTTACAGTAACAGAAGTTCCAGCTGGTCATTTAGCTGAGCTTCCATGTTTAAGTAGTGATGATTATCATCGTTTTATGTTCTGGCAACTTAAAGATGATAATCATATCATTGGGCCTGGCAATCCAATGGATGAAAACAAGTATAATTATGAAGTGTTAACAGGAAAACTCTTCATTAAGGTAATTAATTAATATAAAGTCTATGAATTTTTAAAAATTATTTTATTTTAATAGATTATATTTTATTAGAGTGTATCAACAGCTGAATCTGGTTTCTATAGATGTATTTCAAAAGGTATAGCAGATCATTCTGCTATCAATATACATAGTGTTGAATTAATAGTTAAGAAAGATTGGGAAGAAGTTTGGGAAAATGATTTTGAGGTATATCAAAATATTTCTAATTATTTTTTCACTATTTATTTTAAAAACTTTCTATTTTTTACAGACAAATTTATTACGAGGTATGGCTGCTGTTATGGTAGTAGTCGTTGCTATAGCAATTGTTCTTTTTATTATTACTACAAAAAGAAAACGTAATCAGAGATTTTTTGGTAAATATTATGAATATTTGCATTTATAAAAAAAATATAAGATAAAAAATCATGTTCTTATGATCAATTGATATAAATAATTGTAGATTTAGAAGAATCAAGAGAAAATTCCCCTGAAAAATATACACCAAATGTTAATGCTGGTCCAGTATCTACACCAACAATTGAAGTTGGTGGTATTGATAATACAGCTCTTGATATTGATTTTCCAAGAGTGTTTAAACAAATGCAAAAATAAAATACAAATAAGAAAAAAAAATTTTATAGCAAGTATTAAAAAAAAATATTGTATAGTACAATATAAGTAATATTTAAAAAATATGCAAATATAGTTATATTTGTTTATATATATATTAAATTATGTTAGCAATTATGCTAATAAATGTGCCATGAATAAAATACATAATCATATTTAATAACTAATAAAATTTTAATTAAATAATATTTTATACATAAGATTTCGTAATATATTGTATATAAATTGTTATACATAACGTATGTACATATAAAGTGATTAAAATGTTTAATCAAATGATTCATTATTTTAATATATATATATATTTCTTATATATTATAGTTATCCAATATAATACTTCTTGTATATTTTTATCATGTTAGCATTATTGAATATTTTTTTTTATTTATAAATATTTAATTGTATTTATGAATATATTTATTGAGAATTTGGAACTGTTCCATGACTAGTATCCAATATATTATCATTAGTTCCATCTTCTTCTTCTTCTTCATCTTCTTCATCTTCAGGTTCAACTTCAGTTTCTAATAATCTTATTTTCCTATTGCTTTCACTTAAAACAGCTGCTACTTTTCGTGCACCACTAACTGCTATTTTTTTAGCAGATATACCTTGAAAAGGCCGTGGCCAACTATTATTTAAAAGATCAGTTAAACTAATTAAATTTTTATCTTGATTTCCAAAAATTCGGATATGATTTATTGGTAATTGTACAAGATATGAGGCATGTGTTTGTTTACTTAGTAAAAGTAAACTAAGATATTCATTAGAATAAAATTGAAGATCAATTAAACTACAATCTGTATAATTTTTAGAATATGATTCTATAATAAAAAAAAAAAAATATTAGTTAAAAATTAAAAAATATATATTATATATATATTCATTAATAAAACAACAAACACACCTGATTTGTGATCTGTATTAATTATAGCTAATTTAAAATTGAGAGAAACGGGTTCTGTATATAAACACTCAATTTTAAATAAACGTAATATTTTATGGTCTAAATCACATGTAGCTACTAATAAACCATCATCGTTTGTTGTAATTTGTGATGATGTAAATCCTATAGATGGTACCAAAGCAATATTTGATATAGTAAAATGTTCAACTAATCCTTGATAAGCTTCACGAAAAACATTATGTATAGCAGTAATCAATTTCGCATGAGATTGTAATAAAGAATAATTAAGATCTTGTTTCACGATAAGCGGATGATCACGAAGACAATGATTTTCATCGAGCATTGTAGCCCACTCGCTTCCTTCAGGAGTTAAGCAAGTTTGTAAATTTTCACGTCGTAAATATTGACCTAACTTTTCTAAATTCACTCCCTTTCTTCCTCCAACACCGGGCTCAGTTTTATCAAAACCGCGTAAGAATTCAGCAATAAATGTTAACTCTTGTTGACTAACACGACTTACTTCAGATGGTATCCTTTCATCTGTTAATCTTAAAATTACAACATACAACCACCTTAATAAAAAATATATATAAAATTAAAAAAATATTATTGAAAATTTAATTTTTAAACATACCGAAAAAATGCTTTATAATCACGCATACTATGATCTATAACTTGTTGAATTTCAGAAGATTTTGCTAAAAATGCTTCTGATGCATGAAGAGCATTAGTTATGATAGTTTCATCAGTGAGTCCCAATAATTCATATGGACCACCCAATCTGATCATTCCTCTCATTTCAGCTAATTGATATACTAAGGCCATTCCAACACTAGTTAAATTTTTTAAAACTAATTTCTACAAAATAAATTATTATGTTGTATATAAATTAAAAAGAAATTAAATTTCTGTATCATACCTGTATATTACTATAACACATTTCAATACTGTGTCCTAATTTTTTTAAACCTTTTTCAGTTAAATCACGTAACAAAAAATTTTCTAAATTTTGAGTAGGTATTCCAATCATTAATAATTCTAAGAAATCTGCAGCAACTCCACCAGGGGGATTTGTTTCTGCATATCTTGCAAGTTTTTCATCCATTTCTAGAAGAATTGTTTCCCAAGCTTCAGATATTGCCATTAATGTACGTGAAAGATAATCCATTAAATATTCAATATTAGCTTGAGCTTGTGCTACCTTAAATTTGAAAAAATCTTATAGAATTAACATTATTTTAAAATTTTTTAAAATGTATTAAATACCTTTAAAAATGCTGTACTTTGTTCTAATAATGGACACCATAATCTACATGCTTTAATACCATTTTTATCTTTCCATGTGATCCACATTGATTTGCCAAATCCACCACTAATTTCTAATATTTCACCATGACCAACAGAAATTGTACCACAATAAAACATTCCAAATACATACATAGCAACATTTCCATCATCTAAGCCAAGCTATAAAAAATACAATTATATATAAATGATAATAATTTTATGTATATATATATCCTAATAATATGAAATATATAATATTAAAGCTTACAAAAAGTACATCTAAAGTTTGAGATAAAAATTCTTTACGTTCTGGTTCTTGACCAAAACTTCTATTTAAACTAGGTAATGGTGGAAGATATTCTCCAGTTGGTTGCATATTTGTTTTATTACCATTTAATGAAATATTGTTTTCTGTATTTGTTAATGGTAACCACATCATGCATGTAATTGCATTGTGTAACATTAGTTTCGTTTTATGTATAATATTTTTATTTTCAATATCTACAAGACAGACTAATTTAGAAGTTTCATAACAAATTGCTAAAAGTTTTCCATCTGGTCTCCATGCTAAATTTACAACAGTATCAGATTCTTCTTGAGGATTTAATAACCATACTTTTTGCCATGTTAATCTATGCAATGTAACTTCTCCTATAATAATAATTTTAATAAAAATAATATTATTACATATTATTACATAATATTATTACATATTACATACAATACTGTGAATATCACATTGCTTGTTATAAATAAAATTAATTATATTGAGTTAAATTTTAATTATATTTTAATTATTATATTAATTATATTAAATTTTAATATATATTAAAATACCAAAAAATCTTTTTAACATTATATTTAAAATTATTAATGCATATAAAATTATGGGTAAAAATTTAAATATAAATAATATACAAATTTTATTTCATTTATTAGTTCAAAAAACTAACCTTTTATATTTGCAATCGCTAAAAGGTCCATTTTTGGAGACCATTGCATTTTTATTACTTCAGCTGGAAGTTGTCGTTCTTCTAATTGTCTCATACTACCTGCCATTTTTATAATATTAATCACAATTTAATTTGCAACAACATTCTGTTAAACAACTAAGAACTCTGTTTTTAAGGTTATGTTTGCTTAATGTTTTTGTTAATATAAATAACGTTGCATATATGTAACTAATATATATAATTATAAATATTTTCTCTATGTTAGATTCAAAAAGAACTATATAAATCAATTAATCAATATAAATCAAATACATAATGTATGCATATTCATATAACATATAGAAATATTTATAGATCATTGATGAACAAGATGAACTTTTATATGTAATTTTGAAATTTTTATGTGAAATTTCAAAATTTTTTAGAAAAAATTTAATTATGAATAAAATATAAATAAATTAAGTAAAATAATAAAAACTTTATATAAAATTATTTTTAATATTTTTTTAATATCAAATACAATGTTATTTCATTTGTTAAAAAATAACTTTTTAAATCTATATTTTAATCTATTACAATAAGATTATATTAATTTTTTCATGTTTAAAAAATTTAAAAATGAACGCGGTAAGAATGTGACGGTTAAATAAATTGCTTAAACGTTGCCAAAAGCAATTTAACGAATGTTGAAGGAAATTTAAAATTAAAAATAAACGCTGTCACTGGCTTGTTAATATGTTAGCTAATTTTTGGGCATTATAGGCAAAGATTTTAAACAAATTTTTGATGAAAATATCATTTCGAATTTCATATGCTAACAATAAACTGTTATGATACGTACAGCCGTATTAAATCTAAGGATGAGATACGTCTTCTTGTCAGGAATGAGGCCATTGAAGTTCAGATCATAATTAGAGCAAACCAAATTTTCACGCTAACATGTTTTAAGATAACTTTGAATTCTATAATCTAAATGACAATTAAACATTATGAAAATATATTTCTTCATTAAAATTTTTACTTGTTTTGTTTTATTTTATTTCATTTTTTGTTATTTATTTATTATTTTATATAATATGTGTATTTAATTGATATTCGATAGAAAAATATTATAGAGGAATATTTAAAAAAAACAAAAAAAATTTCTAAGTAGATATATATAAATCAGGATTCATTGAATCAAAGGAAAGAAAAATTTCCGCTTTTGAATATTCCAAGAATATTTTTTACACTCATACATAAAAATTCGAAATGTTTTTATTCCAATTATAATGTATATTTTCAATATCGATAGTTTGACTGCGTTTTGATATTATACATATGATAATTTATAATAAATATGATTATATAATATATTATTATTTATATATAATTAAATAGAATTTATTTTTTGTTCATAAATTATTTACAAGTAAGGAACAATATGATATATTATGATATGTACATATTAAAAAATAATAGATAATTTAATTTATTAAAATATATTATAAAATTATAGTATAGATTGTGTATTACCATTATTAAAAATTTTATTAAATTTATATATGATGTATATGAAAAATAATTAAAAAATCAAAAATTTTATTTCTTAAAATTGAGAGATAGAAGAATATATTGTTTAAAGAAAAATAAAAAAACAAAAAAAACTTAATCTTTTTTTTAATTTAACAATCTAAAATTTCAATGAAATCATAAATTAATTCTTTTGATTTTTCCACTTCAAAAAAAAACTCACTTTTTAGAAAAATAATTTTCATTATTCACAATCAAATTTTTCTAAATTTTTAAAATCAATAGTATTGTTGTTGTTCAAGAATTGTTCGCGGAATAATTATTAAGTTAATTAAAATTAGTTCAAATTTCAATAATCGCTATATTCATGTGATTCTTTGTATCTATTTCTTTTAATAATTTTTACGGAATTTATATGGAAGGTATATAGATCTTTCTAATCGATTGGTTCATTGATTTATTCATGATTTGTTTAACGATTAGTTTTTCAATTTAAATATTAATGGATTTGTTAATTAATTCATCGATACATTTATTAATATATTCGTTAAAATATATCTGTCAATCCATATTTGTTAATTTATTTGTCGATTGATTCATCATCGATATATTTATTAATCGATTTATTAATTTATTTATCGATGCATCCATTAAATTATTTGTTGATCAATTTTTTAATTTTATATTCATTAATATTATATATTATTATATATTAATATTATATATTATATTAATATTATATCATACAATAATACATTTTTTTATCAATTCATCTATCGATCTATTCATCGATATATTCGATAATCTGTTCATCAGTATATTAATCGATCAATTCATCGATTTATTTATCAATATGTTCTTTAATCTATCCATCGATTTATTTGTCAATAATATATTGATCGATCGTCTCATTAATTCATATAACAACACATTCTTCGACTCATTCGTAAATCTATTCGTTGCATCGCGTCAGTATCGAGGCCGCGATGAGAAAGGCGCGCCTAGGCGCCTCGTGTCTCTCGTTAGAGTGCAGGACAAAGTCGATCGAAGGTGGTGGTCGACGGCGAAGAACGCGCGCGGAGCAGGAGGGCATCGAGGAACGCCACTGGCCACGTGACCCGTTACCAGAATCCGCGGCGTCCGCCGAAAATCTAAATCCGTCCGAGCCGAGAAGAAGAGGTACCCGCCGCCGACCTCCGGGGACTCGATGCTTGAGACCGCAAACGCGATAGTCAATAATTGCCTTTAGGGTGTACCGGATCAACAGGAGAAATTGAACGTGATCATCGTCCGCGTGTGCAACTACGACCGCGATTCGTTCGTCGAACGCAGTCCGTTCCTCAAAAACTTCCTAGGGGAGGGTAATCAACACACATCGGAAGAATGATACGCGTCGACGAAACTGATCCAGTGGGCGGTAAGGAAGTCCAAACATTTCTCAATATAATAAATAACGTGTTAGCCTGTGAAATGTTGATTGTCGTATCGAGGATGATCGTGGTTCGTTTGTGAATTATTACATTGAAATATAGATAAAAAATTTAAGTTTTCATAGTATAGTATCATACAGTGAATAGTGAGTCGTTTCCTTTTGGAAGAAAAAGTATTCTATTGTTTCGTTAATATTAAGGTTAAATGAAAGATTATTGACTAAATGGTGTATTTAAATAGTGAAAATCAAAGGATTTTTTATAGAAGACAAAGAAAAAGTGTCGAGATTTTATATGAAAAAAGATATAGATTTCGTTAAATTATCATTAAATCGTGATGAAATTTTTTATTTTGATAGTTCATGGTGATTTTATTCTTGTCCTAGTGGAGCGGCATGAGAGTGTTTCAAGCGTGATTTTTCTTTAAATAAATGCAGTGATTCACTGGAATTTAGGACGATGATGGAGCATCACTGGTTGTTTACCGATTTCTGGACGATCGGTTTTGAACCTCAAAATCGTTCGAGGCCATGGATGTTTCTATCGAACTGTCTTATATGATAAGATGAAATAAGGTTGCCGCCGATGCTAAACGATGAATTTATCGAACGATGCGTTTATACTTCAAAGTGAAAAAAAAATTTTATATTAAAATAAAAAAATTGTAAAATATATATTTATGCATTAATCATAATTTATCATTTTTATAAATCAATATAAAAAATAATTTTGCTTCAAATGTTTAGTTAAAATTTAAATTTTAACAAATTTACAAATTTATACTCGAGAGGATTCGATATATCTATACTGTTTTCTGAATAATAAAATTCATAAATTGGTAAGATTTCCTTATAATATTGGATTATTGAAAAATAGATAATTAATGATTTGCTTTTTATCTCGAATAATAGATGTTGTGTCACAATCACTTTTACGAATCGGCATTGTAAAAGAATGTGTCAGTCATCGTTGCCGTCGGTAACAGAATTTGAATCAAGTTTCAGCTTAATCAGCTTCCTATTCGAGCGTGAATTTTTCATACACAAATTTCATATATGTCTTTCTATATTTATTTATGAATATAATATATATTTACTTCTAAAGAAATTATTTTTTGATTCAATTTTTTCCATTTATAAAGAAAATATAATAATTTTCAAAAGCATATAATTTAAACCAATAAAGAAAATAACCTGTTACATATTAATAGAAATATAAGATAATATATATTTAAATAAAACACGATTATAATATATATAAATGGAATGTGATGCAAATGACGACACGATCAAATCCGAAAGATCAAATGAATAAATCGCAATATCGAAATGCGATTGATTCGTATACGATATTAAAATTTATTAGCAAAATTATAATTTCAAAATTGTGTATTTTTTTTTTGTTTTACAGAAATCGAACCAAGCTTTCCCTATCGAGATGTGACGGTACGCCGGGGCGTGGAATTCAAGGATCATTACGACATTGCATCAGAGATCGGAAGGTAAGCGAATCACATAGATTTCTTTCCAATATACGTATACGGTGTCGTATTTTTATTGTTGACAAACAAAATGTTTCGTACAGAGCGATTCGATTCGTAAACAACAATAGCAATTCAATTTTCGATTGGCAAATATTTTAAATTGTTCCCAAGATATTCGAGATGGGAATAGACGCATAGAATTTTTCTATGTAATTTTTTATAGATGACACTTGGTCGAATTTATGCGCGACACGATCTTGCAAATATTGTGGCGAGCCGCAGGGTTGGGCATGCTGTTTCTGAATTTGACACAATATGCATTCTAGCATTGCGCAATGATTATACAAGCTGTCTCGAGACTATGCATGCCTCCGGCGGAGTGGAGGATTCCGAGGAACACGGAATTTCCGTTTCGAAAAACGCAAGTTAATCGATAAAATTACAAATGGATCAAAATCTGATTTTTAGATCCACGAATTTGGAACTTTACAAGATCTCGAGACATTCGAAAATTTAAATTGCATTGTTATCTTTTTTCCTTTTCTTTCTTTTTTTTTTAGGAAATAATATTTTAATAAATTTTAATTTCTAAAATTCTTCGAACTTAGATGAACATAATAAGCCAATATAACAATTATTTTTTTATTTTGAAAGTTAAAATAAATTTTGTAAAAGTTAAATTTTTATTTATCTTTTCTTCATTATTGTAATTCTTAAATTATTGCAATGGATTAATAAAATTATATCAATTAAAAATCTAAACATTTAATTATTTATATCGTAATTATGATCTATTTACTTGGATTTTCGAATCACAAAAATAGTAAAAAATTTTCGAAAATTTGAAATTATTTGAATGATTTCGAGATTTTGAAGTTTTGAATTTCTAGGAATTAAATACGAATTAAGATTTTGAATCTCATCAATGATATTTTGTTAAATCTTAATCTTTTGTTATAAAAGTTTTAAGTTCTGTTTTTTTGTTGAATGAAAATTTTATCTTGAAAACATTTTAACTCTTCAAAATATTCAATATACTTTAAATTATTATTAATTGCACTATTTTTGATCAGAAATGTTTTTAGGTATTGAATTAATCTTAGAGTTAATAAATTTATGACAGGTTTCAAATTTCTTGTTTTAATAATTACGAAAAATATGTATTTAAGTGCTTTTGGCAAAATGAACATTGACTTTTGGTTGGATAGAAATATGATTCTATATATATACTTGTACACATATCTACTTATTTATTTTCATCGTGTCACTTTAATCATGTATGTATAATCTATACATGTTGTGTGTATATATTACAGGATGTATACTGTCCAAATTAATAAAGATTAAAGTTGAATAAATTAGTAAATCAAGTTATTGGGTAAATGTTAGATGTAAAACACTATGTATTTGAAGAAAATTTTTTATTCATTTTTCATTTAGCCATTGAATCAAAAATTGTTTTATGTTATTTCTTTTTTTTAAATTTGTATTTATCATTTATATTTCTAATAAAAATTACTATTATTAATTTTATTTACATTAGTTTTTATTCTAACAATATACGTTTACGATTCATAATAAATAATTTTAAACATTATTGAATTAAAAATCTATACTTTTATATTGTAAATTTTGCAAAAATACATAAATTATGAAATTTTTCTTAAAAATTTTGTAATTTATGTATTTTTGCGTAGTACATCCAAATTGATATTATACATATTGTATAAATATATATTGACTCGAATTCGAGAAATGTATACGGAAGGCGTAATTTTAATGAATCATTAAAGAGCAAGTGAGCTTGAGTAAATAAATTATTGCGTCCAAAATATTCGCTTTTTGCGTCTTTCTTTGAAGATATCTATAGATTGAACGTACATTTCTTACTTTTATTTATTACTGTTTTTCATCCACTTTGTTAATAAAAATCTTAGGATTTATTACTAAACTCTGTCTCATATAGATTGTATCACAAATACAATTTTTTGAATATTTGTAAATGGTATAAATCATAATATTTGATTAAAAGTAAACAGTAGTAAACAAAAAATTAGCACACAGTTAAAAAAAAAAACATATGCAATTATTATATATTTTTTTATTAAAAGAATGTTGTATGTCGTATGTTTTCTTTTTATAAAATTTCCTATCTTTTATATGCAATAAATTGTTCTTTATTGTTTCTTTATGTTGCGTAAAAATCATATTATATACTTTATAAATTTGCTAAAATTATATTTTTGTCTCATATTTTATTCACATGTATCGTCGAATCTTTAAATCTGTTTTTCTTGAAAACATTGAAGATATTTGTATAGTAAATCAAAAAAATAATAAATAATTTTTCACTATATAATTATAAATAAACAAAAAAAATCTGAAACCAATCAATCTGATAGTTCTATTGTAAAAGATAAATTGATTTAAGATTGAAATTTAATTATTTGATTATATTTAAATTTTAATCAAACCCATGATGAATTTTTATCTTTGTTAATTCCAAAGATAAAGAGGAAAAATGATTGATTTTAAAATGATAGAATATCGAAGGATGGGAATGATAAATTTTCCATTGAAAAAAGTCAAAAGAGATTGATCGTCAAAAGAGGAAGGAAAAAGTTCGAAGCCTTGACGTGTTTATTCCTTCCGGCGAACGTAGTATTCCTGTCTTGTATACATCGTAATCTTTCAGTTACTATGCGTGTCTACCATTATGAATGAGACTCGAACTTGAATGATCTTACATGCAAAGCTGCCGTTTTTCACGAGCCAGTAAACTTACAAAATAAATTATTGGAATGTTTGTTCTTCTCGAGTTTTGCATTCTCGAGTTATGCATCATCGATGCTTTTCTGCATAGATATTGCACAAAAATACCGGCAAATATTATGAAGTTATTAAAGAATGATAATAAATATAATTGAAGTGGAAGAAAGAATTTTCAGGACACGAGTCCAAGTTCGAAGGATAGGTTTTTATTTTTAATCGGGATCGAATGCCGGGACACAATAGCGTATTGTAAAAAAGAGTTGACGAATGGATCAGTGCCAAAGGTAAGATTTGAATGTCAATGACAAACTATTAGTGAACTGTGAATGGATCTCTCGATCGAGAAATATTGGAAAATCTTTGCCTGCATTGTAACGTTTAATCTTTAATTTTCAATATTTGAAATTATTTTAACGATGGAAAAATTTTTTTTTAGAGATAGAGATTTAAAGATATTGTCTTTTTTTTTAATTTGGCTTTTGAATAACAGTTGGCAAATATATTTAATAATGTTGCGAAATGATTTGAATGATGTAATAAAAATTTCAATGAAAAATATTTCTTTTTAAAAATGGTGCAGAATTTTTTTTCTATAAACAAGATATATGTTGATATTTTATTTTTATTATGTACCGTAGACTATTTCAAGAATTAAAAAAATTTTGTATAATTTTTAAAGATTGTTCAAGTTTTAATAAAGTATGATTTAATATTAATTTCGTAATTATATTCAGAATAAAGAAACAGAAGATCTTCATCTAAATTTACTTATTAAATAGAGATATTTTTATCAACAAATATTGTTAAAATAAATTTTTCAAATTATTTTTCACATATTGAAGTATATTTATTAATAACAGCATTAAAATATCAATACGTATAGTTCAATTTTTTTTACGGTAATCTCAATTTAATACCTAGAAATTCAAATTATTTGAATTTAAATTATTATCTCAAATTTTCAACAAATCATCCACGATCCACGATCACGAGTCGTTGACCATTTCACGACAAAACTGTTTCATTCATAATCTCTTCGAAATAATTCATCTTGAAATTTTAATGAAACGATTTCGCTAATTCATTTCATTGATTATTCTTCTAATAACAAGTTTCACGATCGTAAATCATGTTTTCCAATTAAACGGAATCGTTTTCATCGTTTGGCAATCATTATCGAATTGGCCATTTTCCATCCAAGAGCCACGATGTATCGTTCAATCATTCCACTGTATCGTGGCCATTCGCGAAAAATATCTCTTCGATGGCCATTGAAATGAAGTGTACTATGCAATTTGATAACGAAGGTATGCAAGGAGCTGACGTTGCATAAAGTTCGATGTCTAATCAAGGTTCTTGCACGTCTATAAATAATGCATTTTTCACGGTGATTGACGTTCTTGCAAGCAGTCTCACCGTCCGGTATTTCGATGCTTTGCCGTGAATTCGATCATTGACATCTCTGACTAAATTCTTCTTCAAATTGGATCATTTTTTATAATTAATTTGAAACTTTTAGATGTTGTCATGTAGAGTCATGTCTTAAATTATATTATTGATAAGTGTATTGAATAAAATTTGTGATTCATTAATTTGAAAACATAATTTAATTTTCTAGTTTGAAATGCAAGGATGGATTGATATAAAGAAAAATTATCAAGTGGATATATCTATTTTTAAATATTTGTTATTATAATAATTAGTTCAAGTAAAAATTTAAAGAATCAATGTCCATTAAAATTTATCTTTCAAATTATAGAAAATTTAATTTTGTATCAAATGACGCGAGACGGAGAGAGACAGAAATAAAGTCTTATCATTATACTACCACTCTCACTATAATTTAAAAAATTAATTTAACATTTTTGCAATACAATTTTTGTTATTGTTACTTTAATTTCTAACTCTTAAATTTTCTCTCCACTTTTCGAATACTCTATTATATAAATTTGTATTTAAATCTGTTTATTGCAATTGATCAAAACGCAGTTTCATGATATTAATTTGTTTTCTGGCAGACATTCCGTTTTGATAATCTGCAATTCCGACCCTGTTGTCTACAGGGTATGCTCTACTAACTCACTGACTCACTTACTTGGCTTCGTGACAGCTATGTTACACCATCGCATTCTACCGATGCTCAAAGCGACAGCTTTGATACTTCTCCCGATTTTTGTTCCTTCTTGACACGTTTTTCCTATTTACAAAACTCTTTTAATATTCTTGATTTGAAAATCGTGAAAATTCTTGCGCACATTTTTTGTGAGCACAGGAAAAAATGATGAACTGACTAGATTGGATGTTATAAAAATTAAAATTTTCATAAACATGACTAAAGTTTAAGAGATTCCTCATTCTTCAAATATAACTCGCGTATTTATAATATTTTGAATATTTTAAGCTTTCTTTGCATATCATATGTATTCCATAGATTACATTTCAATTTTGCATAAATGTATAAGTCTACCGACTGACTCGTACAGAAAACTAAAAATGCGGATATCCTTTCTTATTTATGTATATTTGTTGGTACACATTCTTGGCGAGATATGAACGGCAAGATTTTCAAAGTTTAAAAGATTTCGAGACGTTGGAAACGGTATTTTTGATTCTGCGTTGCTTGGCACAATAAGACGCGATAAATTGTGAGTTCATGACAGGTGCACACGCAATATTTATTCCATTGGGTAGAACATGAAATTGGATGAAATTGTATGCAATTTTCTCGATGAAATTCTCGTTTTGATTCTTCCTTCATTGCATCGTAAACAATCGCATTTATGAACTGATCGATTTTCAATCAGTTTATATCAATCGTTTGATCCCTGAAAATGAAAAATTATATAAATTAGTATTGTGTAAAAATAAAATATAATTTGTATATACATACATGTTTATTCACCTATTCATGGATAAATAAATTTTTTTAACGTAAATTATTTACGAATAAGTAATAAGTGAGTAATAGATTATATTTAAAAATGTTATAAAGAATAAAGAATCACAAGTCTCATTGAAGTTATTCATATTAGTAACGACGCAAATAACGTAAATAAATTAGCAATAAAATTATGTCACCTTGAAGTTAATATGAATACATCAATTTAAAGCTTGATAGAATTTCAAAAAATTCAAGATATCATATGATATCATTATTCATTTCTTATGAAATCATTGTTTGTTGTCATTTGAACTATATTATTTTTTTGAATAAAAAACTTAAATAATACAATACATGACAATTTAAGAAAAAGTAATTATAATAAAAACAAGATATTTCATTTATATCGCAAAAATATGAGAATAACGATTAATCCATTGTTGATGAATAAGATGTAATTCGATGTATAATTTTTTTTCGATAAAAAAATATTTGTTAATAAACTTTCTTCGACGCATGTTGCTTGTTCGTTAACTTGACGGCACATACCCAACACTACCGTTGCGGCTTCTCTACGCGTTCCGTGATTGGTCAATGTTTTTTGTTAATAACTCGTTAATAAAGCTGTAACGAAAATTTTTGCAAAGGAAAATGTTATTTGAAATTATCTCAGGAATCTCCAGTTAATCCGTGTTTTCACATTTTGTGAAACATGTTGTATATATAAAAGTGAACGCGAGAAGTTAAGAAGGTTAAAGTTCACGAATGCAATTTCTATTCGTGATCTTAAGACATTCAATGGAATATTAACAAGATGTTTTTGTTCTGTTCCTTTATACATTTGCAAATGTTCTCAAGTTACTGCGATTTATTATGCTGCATTGCTGCAAGACTATCAAGAAATATTACCATGGATTTTATCTTCCGTTTATTCCATTATTCCAAGCTTTTTATTATTCTGTATCATTATCAAGAATTCTTACTGATATTTATTCTAATTTATTGCATTCTATAATTTTTTTATAATTAATAAAAAACATATTATAACTTTTGAAAACATTATGTTGTTTTGTTTATAACTTCATAAATTTTGAAATTATTGTATTTTGAAATAAACTACTAAATTTTGCATACATTTTAAATATGAGCAGAATTCAAGTCAATATTTTTTTCGAAAATAACATTAGAAATTTTCGATTAAAGCCTATTGACTCAAATGATACATTGCTCGATAATTAATAATCTTATTGTTATGAAAAGTATTTGTTTGTTGTAATCGAAGAAAATTTAAATTATATATCTAATATCTAATAATTCTATAGGAAACCATTTATGTTATTCCTTTAAAATTGGTAAAATTGAAAAAAAAAAAAAAAAAAAAGAAAAAAAGAAGGATAAATTCTTCTTTTTTAAAAATTTTTTCTAACTGAACAAACTTTAAAATTCCTGTAAAGTTAGAAGAACGTGACATATCTAATATGACTGCTAAATGCAAAAAAGCAATAACTATTTATCACGAAGTTTAAAAAAACAAAAAGAACATTGCAATTTTTTTCATAACTAAACATAACTTTAAAATCAGTTGCAGTGTAAAATTAGAAAAACGTGACATATCAAGTTTTTGTAATTTGACTACAAGAAAATAGTGATATTAGATAATAGTGAAATTCTATTTGATTAGAAAATTTGATACGGAAAAATGATACGAATGAAAAAAATATTTAAAGTAAATAAAGTACTATATTTTTTCTCTGTATTGATACAAATTGTAATCATCAACAAAAGCTAACGTGTTTTTATCTGTCTATACAATTTATCAAATGTATTTATGCTTCAAATGAAAGCGATCATATATATTTTCACATAGGTAACATTTTTTCATCGAAAATAACATTCGATTGCTTATAGCATCAAGCGTATTATAATTTATTGACCAATAGTTTGAAACAGTCAATAAATTATATTAACGCTTGCCAAATCTTTAAACTTTATTACTTTGAATGTTTACTTACTGCTTGAAAGATTGACATTTGATAATTAAATTACATATAATATAAAAATAGCAAATATATAAAATATAGAAATTGTAATCCTGATTAATTAAAGATTTTTAAGGTAATTTCAAACAACATTTTCTTTTGCAAAAACTTTCATTATAGCTTTGTTAACGAATTATTAAAAAAAAAAAAAAATAAGTGGGCCATCATAGAGCGTATAGACTAATCAAGCCGTGACGGTAGTGTTGGATATGTTTCGTCGATCGAATACGAACAAGCATCTTGTATCGAGAAAAAACTCTCTTGAAACAATAACAAATATTTTTTTTATCGAGGAAAATAATGGATAAATTGTTATTATATAATTAATTAATTGTTATTCGTATAGAATATTTGTATAAGATTCTATTTCTTTTTTATCATTTTTCTTTTTTTCTTCTTTATCATTTTCCTCTTCTTTCTCTTCTTTATCATTTTTTTTTCTCCTTCTCTTCTCCTCTATATATGTATATATTATTTTTCATTCAATTAAAAATGTTAGCAAAATTTATACTACAATTTAATATTATTCATTGTTTGATAAGATATAATTCGATATAATCTTTTTTTTGGATAAGGAGTATTTGTTATATTCAATAGATTCTTTGCGACACATGCTGCTTGTTCATATCCAATCGGCGATACATACCCGACACTATCCGTTCCGGCTTGACTAATATACGCGTTCCGTGATTGGTCGAGTGTGTTTTTAAGTTAATAAAAATCCCAGGAATCTCCAATTAAGCTGTGTTCCCACATGTTTCAAATATCCTGTATAAATGTTTTTCCAAGCAATTTGCAACTTTTTCTAACGATACAAATATTTCTCTCAATATTTTATTTCATTTAATTTCTAATTGCTAATTTTTAACCATCACCGAATCAAGTTTCATTCTTTACAATGACAGAGAAAAATTCAAGTAAAAATTCTAATTACTCGAAAAATGACGCGATACATACCATGATGTCCCACAGATAAAAAGATTGATTGTCAACAATGAAAAACAAAACGAATGAAATGATCGAATATGATTTTGCGCGAAATTTTACGTGTGAATAGACGCGTGAAAACGAGATCGTTCCTATTTACAGAGGAAAATTTGGCACCGTTTATCGATGTAAGGAGAAAGTGAGCGGCTTGATGCTCGCCGCTAAGGTGGTGAACACCGCAAAAAAGGAGGACAGACGAGCCGTGGAACGAGAAGTCGAAATTATGAGACGATTGCAGCATCCACGACTTATTCAACTCTATGATGCCATCGATAACGGCCGACAAATATACGTAATTTTAGAGCTGTAAGATGTTTATACCATAAATGAGTCGAAAAATCTATCTCGATACACGTTGTGCTCGTGTATGTTCAAGGATTGAAGGTGGCGAACTATTTGAAAGGGTGATTGACGATGATTTTGTGTTGACTGAGCGCAGTTGCGCCGTTTTCATGAGACAGATCTGCGAGGGTATAGAATTCATTCATCGGCAAAATATTTTGCATCTTGATTTGAAGGTAAATTAACGATGAGTATTATTTTTTTCTATTATGTATAATGTGAATTTCCAAAATGATAGAATTGGATTTCTTGTTTCGTGGTATTAAATTGGAGATAATAATGTAGGAATGTAAGAGAAATCAATATTATAGATGTTTGTAACGTAATATTCAAAGGTATATACATATTGCTTGATGCAATATTATTAACATAAAATTTATAGAATAAAATTGATTAAAAATTTTAATGTTATAATACATTGGAAATTTTAATAGATTTAATTTGCTTAATGGTAATTTGTAATTCTCGTTTTGATAATTTTATAACGCATCCATGATGCAATTTAAAAATCATTATCCTGAAATTGGAAACTTGTCTATTTTCCATCCATTTTTCATAGTTTATACATCAATTCTAAAATTACATATGTGAACGTTAATTAATCTTTTTCTTGATTTAATTTAATAATTTAACAATCTTTATATAAAATATTTGTTTTATATAAGAATTTTGAATACGTTTATTCAATCAATATTATTTCTAATTATTCATAATTAATGTTCTTTGTTCATAGCCTGAAAATATATTGTGTTTGACGAAAGAGGGTAACAGGATCAAAATCATAGACTTTGGTCTCGCGAGGGAGTACGATCCAAAGAAGAAGCTGCAAGTTCTATTTGGCACGCCGGAGTTCGTTGCACCGGAAGTCGTAAATTTCGATCAGATTGGCTATGGTACCGACATGTGGAGTATAGGCGTCATCTGTTACGTATTGTAAGTTGCCCTTCAATTTCGATCCTTACTTGCTAATAATTTCGCTACGTAAACGTAAATACTTGAAAAATATCTTCAGATATTTTTCCCTTATACTTAAAAATATGTTAAACGGATTAAATGGATCAATTAAATTATTTTCGTTGTTAATGAACCGATTATTTTTCTGATATATGATATATAATTTCAATGGATCTTCAAGTCGATTGATATTTGATTTTTTTTTTATGTTTTACTTTTTTGTTGATAAATGTTCGTTGTTAATGCATTATTAATTTATGCATTATTAAATTCTCGAATTCTTGTATCTTTTTTTTTTTTTTTCTAAAAAAGATCTCGATCTCTTAAATTTTCAACGTTTTAAATTTCAAATCGTGAGTTTATTATATAAAATGCATTTTTAGTTTTGGCAAAAGTCGGATCTTTGTTTCTTTCATCTATCTTACACACATACATACGCACATACATATATCTTAGATATAAGAAAAGTACCATCTATTTCTAACGCTAAACGAATAACCTTCAACGAAAAATATAAAACTAGATTCTCGCATTCCAGACCACTGTTTTCTAACGTTACAAAGAACATAAACTTATAGGTTTGATTGATCTTTTAGATGAAATCCGAATTAATGCTTTTACTTATCCCATCGCAATAAAATATATAGCAGGTGAAAAGTTTTTTTATTCTAAAGTAAAAAAATTTCTCTCGTAACTTAAGAAATTATAATATCGGGAAGATTTAATCATTTTTCTTTTTTTATCTTTGTTTCCAGATTATCCGGTTTATCGCCATTCATGGGAGACACAGATATCGAGACAATGGCAAACGTGACCATCGCCAAGTATGACTTTGATCACGATGCATTCGCCAATATATCGGAAGATGCGAAAGATTTTATACGATGTCTGCTGGTCAAAGACAAAGAGTACGTATAGCTTGTTATTTTTGAGAAATATTACGCGGTACAAAGGTGACGTGGAGGACTGATGCTAAAATATCCATACCACGTCACCATGTCCGTCTGTCGCGATCGACAGAAGTCGAACGTGAACACTGACACGTTTGCAATATTAATGAACGTAACTGGCCAGATAACGAAATGCAGGAACAGTGTTGTCTTTGAGCATATATCGTTTGCCAAGAAAATTCAATAAACCCATTGAGCAATTTTCATTTTGATGTAGGTTATTTCATCTTTCGAAGATTGAGATTAGTTTATTTCATTCTTCTAGATCAAATAATCCCAAATTTCGTTCGGATTTCGTTAAATAGAATAATCCATGGCAAATGTTTCCCCAGCTGTGGTGTCATAATTTTTATCGTGTTCGGCATGTAAATTTATGCGTGAATTTCGATAATGTGTATTGAATGAAGAAATATTGTGAATCCAAGAATTAACAAATTGTCAATTGTTATCAAACAGTGAAATTTTGCAGCTTCTTAGCTTCTTCATTTCGAATTAATCCTCTTATAAATTAAAAAATGATTATCATGGAAGATTTCACAGTTGAAAAAGCGTTTTATTCTTTTATCCTTTCTGTTAAACTTTATTTCGATAATTGAATATTATCTCAAGTATAGTCGGTGGCAAAACAAATTACATTTTCAGTCATCTGGACAGTTACAGCCATTGTTTTTTGTTATATAACTCTTTCACGATCACTCTTCGTCTTTCTCTCTCTCCCTTTGTGTCTGATTAATCCTGAGCATGTTTTCTTCATTTTCGACACTGTTGCTTGTCACTCGAAGCTGTATATGTAATATTTTTGAAAACACGAGCATCCTTACTTCCATCGAACGTTTCGATCGAAGTAAATGTGAAAAATTTTAACACGAACGATACAATTTTTGCGTTTTTTTTTTTTCGTATTAAACCCCTCCTAACAATTTCCATTCCTTCAAAGAGGAAACGAATAATCATTCTCGTCGTCCCGTTCAAAACAGTCTGTCTGTTTTTGTCCGTCGGCGTACTGAAGGAAAAGAAAAAACACCCAAAAAACGACCAGGGAAGATCCATCGTATCATTTCTATAATAATCGAGGCGCGTGTCTGGCCACGATTTTCAAACGACGAAAAATTCTATCGAAGAAAACACACGCGCGATCCCATTTCATTGCTCATCATCACACACATTTCTATCGTTGAAAAAACTACGAACAATTGCACGTTTGCGACTCAAGAGGGAATAGACGAAATTACAATGTGTCTGTGTGTGTGTGTGTACGTGTATGAGAGAGAGAGAGAGAAAGAAGTACAAAGAAAGAGAATAAAAAGTAGAGAAAGAAAAGATAAACATGAAAAATAAATTTCCGAATTCCTATCGGGATCATCTTCACGAAGAAGATTTCTATCGAATATTCAGCAAACGTATGATGGCTAAGGAGTGCGGAGATCATCCCTGGTTGGCCAAGAAGTATACGGTATCGGGTGTACAGCAACAGGTCGAGAAAACGATATCGAAGCCCCAAGCATCGAAACATCGAATCCCTCGCGTCCAGATGAACAGTATGGACGAGCTGGACATGACCAAGGACAATCTGAAGCTGTTCGTCGAGCGTTGGCGGGAGCATCCTGACAGCCCGTATTTGATCGATTTGCCACAATGCATCACGCTGCCTCATCATTACTCGACCCCTCGCGATCACGAGGAATTAGTGTCGTTAAGGGGTCACAGCCCGTCTCCCTGCGCCAGTATTTCCAGTACCCTGTCAGAGATGACGGACAACTCTCCTCGAGAGAGCTACGGCTCGTTCCTCGCAGTGCCAACCTTCAATTTCGGTTTCGAAAGGAGAGCCTCTGAGGGCGTTGCAACGGAGAAGTTGAGGAGCGATCCTGCCAGTCAGATCGTTCTGGCTGAAGAGATAATCAAATTATCCGAACGTCTGCGATCCATAGCCATGGGAGCGTGCATGAACGAGGAGGTGGAGTCCTCCACCGCGGAGGATAAGGTTAATGATAAGACGGAGAAGGTTGAGGATAAAGATAAAAGAAACGGCGTCAGCTCGAGGAGCAACGGTTTAATTGGAGAGAACGCGACCGAGTGCAACGAGATCACGGAAAAATTGTCGAGCATAATGAGACACAGGAAATTGAATGGGACGACTTTCCATAGTAATCGTAATTTTGAGAAACATACGGAGGCGAGTAGCGGAAATATGTTCGCCTCGTTGAAGAAAAAGAACAGAAGAAGGAAGAGGGAAGAGGCGAGGAAGGTGGAAAGGTTAGGAGGGAATCTTTCGAGGGGCAAGTGGAAGATTTGACGAACGATAAGAACGAGAGAATATCCGGTAGAAAGGAAGGTGAGATGGATTTGACGCCACCGTGGCGGCGTCCACGAGTGAAACAATTTGGCGAGACAAGTAGGGATGTTCCACGAATTTCTGGACTTCGTAATTTGCATAAGAGCCTGAATCTTGACGAGCCCACTAGCACCAAGGATTTGTTGCTCCATTTGCTTGGCGAATGGGAAGAGGTTTCCATGAGGCCATCGAGTGGCCGCAAGTCCGTGAGCGTCGATTGGTGCGGTGAGGAATCTGTAGCTAGGAAGACGATGAATTCTTTAGCCGAGTATTTCCAGTCGAAGCAACAAAAATCGACGACCGCCAATGTTAATTCGCCCACGTCGAATTCGATACATCGTTGAAATGATTAACTCGAGTTAAGATTTGTCACGTCGGATTTGTTTGTCATTTTTCTTTTTTTTTTTTTATTTACGACAAAGGATGCGTTCGATTATTGTGAAATTCTCAGGGCAGTGTAAGAAATGGAGGAGGAACGGTGATGACGACGAAACTTTATAATATGTTATTTTTAATGCTTGTGGACGCGACCCTACTTCCGGTTTGAGTGGAGTGTGCAACAGTTTGTAGTGAGTGTGCGTTGATGTTTACTTGAATTCATTTATGTCGAATTTGGGTAAACACGTGAGTTCCTGATTGTTCGTGTTAGAAAGTTTATTATGTTCGATTAGAAGAAAAGATCGATTATTAAAATTTTTCGATAATCAATATGTGTATTGATTCTTCATTGTTTTACCA